AAATAATCACCGGCGTTTGTTTCACACAGGGAGAGAGATCCGGTACGGTCAAAAGATGATCATCAACTGACACGGGCGAGTACGGAAAGAGCTCGATTAGGCGACGAAAACATTCATAAACTTTTATTGGATCATACATACATAAACGAAACTAAAACGCATCGGGCTCAGACGCTAATCATCTAGAGGAAACTTAAGAGAAAAATAATATGTAAAACTTAAATTTACTCTTAATGCAAACCATCTCTCTTCTGTTTTGAATACCATCCAAACATTTCATCTTCACAAGAATGAAATATTTTTAAAATTTCAAAGAAACTTTCGTTTAAAATAATCGCGATTATATTTCTCAGAACCGGAAAGAAGGTGAATATCAGGGAAACAAAACTTTCATGTTAATTTTTGTATGCGTTATTGTTATTTTACAATTTTTGAAAATTGTTTGAAAATGTTTGAGGAATTTATTTACCATTTTAAAGCGTTGAGGATGGTACTATATCTTAGTTATAAGTTTTTTACTCTGTAAAATAGCATTCCTCTTCTTCGAAGTATTTCTATGTTTTTTATCAGGAAATCAGCAAATATTTAATTTTCACAACTTTAAAACTGTGCAAAGCATTCGAAAAATAATATTTTATACCCCTTAAAGTATGCAGAATAATTAGTTAATTAGTCTTTTGTCCTAAAAGTAACATTCGAGATACTTATTCCCAAAATAAAAACCTATTGTTTCTTGGCGGTTGAATACCAACTGTATTAAACATTATATTTAATTTGGCGTCACTAAGATTACATCTACATAAAGTCCTTGAGAGGGGCGTCTTTACACTTAAAAGTCTCTTACACAGAACATACAAAATATCACATTCACCACAAACGAAGCGGTGCCAGGATGAGCCCGGCTAATCCCTTTTGGTCTTGTTGGAGGAACTAGATCCGCAGCAGCGTCTAAGAAGCCACACCCAACTGCCGATGACACTGCCCAGGATCAAGGCCACCAGAGCATAGCAGTCCAGGGAGTAGTACACGAATCGGGACATCTCCACAGCGCTGGGTTTCAGCAGAGGAGCTCCACCCGTATGGGCCACATGCTCCACCCACCAGATGGCGGTGTGCAGAGCCTGCTGGGGGCGGTGGTTGAACGAGTGGGAGACGACCTTGGCAGCATCATAGAATCTAAAATGAAATATTAAAAAATGTAATTGAAGATTTACCCATAGATAAGCAAGCTTTTTGCTACTCACTTCTTGTCCAAGGCCTTTTTCAAAGCCCGCATCACCGTATTCTCCCCGATATCCTCGAAGTTCAGGATGGTTCCCATGCCCCGATGCACTAAGGCGGCCGAATTCACGAACTGATCCCCGTACATGGGCGTGGCCACAACTGGAACTCCACAATAGGCTGCCTCCGTAGTGCCCATGAGTCCACCATGCGACATGAATACCTTTACGTTCGGATGACAGAGGATATCGCGTTGCGGCAGCCACTTCATAATGTGCATATTGGGTGGCTGGTTCGGCAGCGTATCGTTCTCCCATTTCCAGATAACCTTCTGCTTCAATCGAGCCACCGCCCGTATAATACCATCTCTTTTGGTCGCCGACAGGGAATTCGCCCGGATCATGGATCCCCAACTGATCAGGATCACTCCTTCCTCGGCATTATCTAGAATGCGCTGCAGATCGGCGGGCAGGGGCTTAGATTTCTGAATGTGTATGCCACCCAGCTCGATGACATTGGGTGGCATGGGCTTGGGTCCCGACAGCGAATAGTGTTGGTTCACAAAGAACACGGATGTGTTCTTCACCAGCTCACCCACCGAAGGCACATCGTGGCCGAATTTGTACTGCACCATGGCATCGGCAGCGGGTACTGATATGAGTCTATATGAAATATTAAAAAAATTAGTTACAAATATAGGACACCTGGCTCTGGGGAGAATAGGTTAGTATCCACTCACTTGTACATCCAGTTCAAGGCGTGGGTGCTAAACCAATTGGCCAGTCGTCCGCCAAAGTCCATGTCCTGCGATTGGGCCATGAAGAGAGCCGGGACGTGGGATGGTATCAAAGGAGCTCCCATTCTTTCGTAGTGCCAGGGCATCATCACACAGCTGCTCAGGGCAATCACGGGGGCCTGGAGCTGATGGGCAACGCCCATCATGCAGTCCGAGTTGAACTGCTCCATTATGATCACATCAAAGCGGCCCGGGCGCCTGAGGATCTGCTGCAGTGCCTCCGAGCGGAGCGTCTGGTTGCAGGCCTGTTTTCCCCACTCGTTCAGCAGGAAGAATTCCAAGAAATGATTGTAGAATGTGCGCTTCTCAAAGAACTAAAACGGGGAATTTCAAAAAACGTTTTAGTAAGTTATTGCTTTAACTACAGTAATTTCAACAAGTGATTTACTACTATTTTTGTGCTATTTCGTCAATAGGCTATTAGTTTAAATCTAAACAATAGGTCGTTTCCCCATACGCCCATGTGAATCCCCTTTTGACTCACCTTGAGATCCACGCTGTTCGTGAGCTTGTCCAGTCCGGTCAAGGGGAAATCCTTGTAACGGACTACCGGATGCTTGTCCGGGAAGTGGGAAACCACGCTCACGTCATGTCCCGCCTCGGCCAGACCCCGCATGATGGGGTGGAAGAAGTGGAAGTGGCTGACTCCGGGATGGGGGAACAGACCCAGCACTTTCAGCGGACCAGCGGCCTCGACCAACTCATCCGGTTGGCTTAGGGCCAGGGCCAGAAAGACTAAAACGACCAGCGGCGACCACATATTACCCTCTGAAAAGAAAAAGACAATTCAATAAATTAGAAACCAGAGCGAAAGTAGAATACAATTTTTAAACAATAATCGTTGTCTAACTTTCAAGGTTGTTGAGCGTTTGTAATAATATATCGGTTCATTAAATGTTGTATTTTAGAAAAAAAGTTGTATACGCTTTACAGCACTTTAAAAATGAAAATTTGTATATCCATTCATTCTTTAGCGTTTTTTAAAGTATTTTTTGATCAAAAAAATTGTAATATAAAAATTAAATAAATAATATTAAACCGTAGACCACTTATTACAAGGTTGCCTTGTGTCTTAAAAATAAATCTAGTAAAAAAAAACAAGATGCGTATAAATGAATGTTGAATTACAACTTTTCAAGGAGTCAGTTTTCAGTCTCTATACCTTTTCAATTTATTATTTGTGTCTTTAATTATCTTAAAAAAATCTGTTTGGTCACTTAATCACAGTTATAATTTCACACTTTGGCTACTTTTTAAGTTCCTAATGGTTTTGCTAAAAACTGGGATAAGTAATTAGTAGTCGGGAGAAGTATTGCATAGATAAAGTTGACTATTGACGGAAACCAATCTATTACAAACTTTTTCTTAACTCAGAATTCCCTGACTTTTCTCAAGCACCGGGTGCAGAAACACTTGTTGCCTGTTGGGATTTTTGGTTTTTGCAGTATTTTCGTTCGACCTTGAGTGGGGCGGTGGGCGGCAATGCGCATGTCGCGAATGCGAGAAATGCAGGGAAATTATGTAAAGAATGCAGGCGAAAGCACAGAAAGAAAACACTAGCACAACAAAAGCCACGGCAATTGCATCACAATCCACACTGCACTCGCTAATAAATTCACAATTATCGCCTTGTAAGGGGTCTTTTCACCGGAGTTCAATTGAACCGCAGAACTGGATACACACACAATATATTTAAAATGCCGAACCGTCAGTTTCGAACTTAAATCCTGTTTTTGTTAACCTCCTACTTACTTGTTCAGCTGTCGACGAGCGACTGACTAAGTTCAGAGAAATTCAGGCGAATGGAAAGCTTTTCGGTCATCGCTCGACAAAGAGCAGCGACCAAATCCACACAGGCCAAAATTGCTCAGTCAGCGATCGGAAATCAATCTCGGTCTTCGACGGTGGTGATAGCATGGCTATTTTTTAGCCAAATAAAACAAATTTCTAATTTTAAGAACATATTTTAAAAAAAAATTTGTAGTTTGTATAAAAAGTAAGTTAAATTTGCCTAAAATATTTAAATATATTTTAACATTTTCATAGAAGCAAATCTTATAAAGAAATATTTAAAACAAAGTGTACAAAAAGTTTATTTTTAATTAATAAAGTTTAGTGAATTATTAAATAAAAAGTAAGTTACCTTTACCTTAAATATTTTACTATATTTTAATATTTTTATAAAAGCAAATCTAATAAAAAAATATTTTAAAGAAAGAATATAAAACGTTCTTTTGAAATAAATAAAATTAAGTGAATTATTAAATAAATAAATATTTTGTTATTAATGTTTTCAAAATAATTAAATATTAGTAGTTTTTGTTGAATTGGTACCTCTCTATCCATTAAATTATTAGTACTTTTTTTAATTCTAGCTACATTTCCAATATTTTCACTCTATTGTTGACAACACCGATCTTTTGCCGGAGCTTTTTTCGGCCTTTCGATACGACTTGCTCTCACAAGGAAAGCCCCAAGGGTGCATATAGAGAGAGTGCGTTTGGGATTGACCATACGAGAGTGTAGAATACTTGCCCTTGCACACGAGACCTAACTACCGGCTGTAGAAAGTCAATTAAGCAACAAAAATTCAGTCAAGTCTGGCGAATGTGTAATCAGCCTATGCTGTTTATCTTCAAGGCATCGCCGTTTGTTTACTTTTAATTGATATGGACTTGTTTTCGTCGTTTTGGAGCGTATACGGAAAGTACAAGTAATCGAGATCGACATGTGTAATATTATTTGGAACTGTTCAAATTTTCCATTCACGCTCCACAAAATCAGGTTATCAGTATAATTGGGCCACACACTAATATTTGTTGTCCTATTGAATTATAAAATTAGAAATTAAAAACTAATGAGGGAAATATATAATTTATATTTTGTTATAGGGTCTTTAAAATTCCAGAGATTTTTCCATGTTTTCAAATGACTAATGACACTTATGATGGAACTGATAATTCAAATTAAAAAGTGAAAGCAATTCTCAGTAACAGTTTTGGTTTATTGAACTTTTTGTTTACAGAAAGCTGTATGGCGTAACTTTAATTATACGTTTCGATACGTTTAAATTATGCACGTATAGCACAAATTTAAATTAATTAGTTAAACGAAAATATACTGCCTCTGTGACATGTGAATGGGCTTTGTAATTTAATGGTTTAAGGCTTAATAATATTTAATGTGCATCATAATTTTTTTAAATGCGACGTACTTTTTTCTATTTTGGTTGCAAGTCGAAAACGAAACATATTGTCTGAAGCGTAATGAGTTCATTGATCTAAACATTTATTGTTTCTTTGTTTTAGTATCTCTAGATATTTTTCCCCATCCAAAAACTGATCCGATCCCCTTAATGAGCTTCCAGAAGGCGACAATCATCAGCCATACGATTCCCAGCCAGAACAAGTAAACATCGATCGAGTTGTAGACGATCCAGTTGATATGTCTGGCTTCACTTTGCATAAGGGGAGCACCTCTAGATTTTATCACGTACTCGATCCACCAGATAGCTAGTTCGAGCGGGGTAATGGGTCGTTGCCTGAACGCTTCGGTGGATCGGCGCACATTATCTGCAAATCTGCAAAGAAATTGTGTTATTTAGTACAACAAAATAGGGGAAATAATTATAATATTCTTGAAATTTGATGTAAGTCTAGTTAAGATTATTTCTAGGCAATCCCTTACTTTTTACTAAGTATAATTTGCAGTCCCCTGGTTATGTGATCCGCATCAAAATCACTGAAATCAACAATCACTCCGAAGCCTCTCTGCTTTATGGCGCCGGAATTGAGAAACTGATCTCCGTAGAAAGGTGTCAATAGCATTGGAACACCACAATGAACCGCCTCCGTGGTGCCCAAAAGTCCTCCATGGGAAATGAAAGCCTTGACCTTCGGATGACACAACAGATCTCTTTGGGGTAACCAGTCGAAGGTATAAAGATTGGAGGGTTTTTCTTTGTCCTGGTATTTTTCACCCTTCCAACGCATCAAAAAGTTATATTCCTTCAGCTGAGAAATGCTCTGGAAAAGCTGATTTCTTTTGTCTGATGGTAGTGTGTTTGTGTTCACCATGGATCCCCAGCTAATATAAATGATTCCATTGGGAGAGCGATCCAACAGATCTAATAAGTGCTAAAACGAGATTAAAGAGATTCATAGTTACTAAATAATAAAAAAAACAAAAAGCAGTTCTAGAATTTATTTTAAACCATCGTCGAAGGAATAGTGATTTTCATATGTATGAATGCTAATCCAAGAAAAACACAAGGCCTCTGGATATAAAGTAGACCCAGTGTCTGCAATGTCTATGTTTATTTTGGGATCGCGGTTTTAAGGTCTATGAGTTAAAAATATATTCCAATACAATCAAATTTTGCAGCATGCGTTCAAGCTTTTAAACGTTGACCTAAATAATTTAAAAAACTTGAAAGATTTGCCAATCTCTTCGTCAGTGCGTCAGCGTATTATCATAAAGTATGTTGTTATTGTCAGTGATTATTGGATTAAAATTTGCTAATCTGCGGAAATGAAAAGGGCATAACTAATGACATTAAAAACCGCTACCGCTTAAGTCATTATTTAAATGCGGATAGTTTAAGATGTACATATTTTTAGCTATAAAATACAAAAACATTTGAAATTTTGCCCATATTATCTACCCACTTGTATTGTGTTTATTAAACAAAAAAAAAAAATGACTAAGAATTTTTGATAAAGAGTTTCACGACCTTAAGACAAGCGGTTTATCTGATAATAAAAGACAAAGAAAACAATTTTTTTTCTTAGCAATAGGTCGAAATATTATAAGTACATTTAGAAAGTATAACATAATCTTACTTTTGGCAGCGGTTTTTGTGGGCCCACTTGCAATCCGCCCACTTCCACCACATTTGGGGCATAAGGGCGTGGTCCGGTTAAGGCATAATACTGATTGATCAGCATCAGACTCGTATTCTTCACGATTTCATTGACGGGTGGCAGTCCAGGTCCGAATCTCTGACCGATCATCGCATCGGTGGCTGGTTGGTTAATCAAACTTTTCAAGGAAAACGACAAAGATAAGATACGACATTTTGAAAGCAAGAAAATGTAATACCCACTTGTACAGTGTGTTTACGGTGTGAAAATGGAAGAAATTATTAAGTCGATCGATCAGACTCATCTCATCTGTGTAGGGCAGGAAATTCATGGGCATGATGGGGTTAATGAACGGACTGCCCATTCGTTTGTAGTGCCAAGGCATTATGGCACAGCTACTCAAAGCGATCACAGGTGCCTTTAGCAGGTGAGCCACCGCTGCCATACAATCGTTGGAGAAATGTTCGAGGATTATGACGTCGTAGCGAATGGGGGATTCCAGGAGCTGAGCGATGAGGGGTGAGTTCAGAGCCACTCTACAGGATCGCAGTCCCCAATCGTTAAGCATAAAAAACGTGGACACCTTGAAGGGCAGTCCCAGTGGCTTCCATTCCGATTCGAAATTCTGTAATGCAATAGGTTTTAAACTCTTCCTTTCGATAAACTCTTCTTAATTACCTTGAGATCTACAATATCTGTGAGAAGAGGCATTCCCTGGAAGACAAAATCCGTGTAGTTGGCCACTGGTTTCTCCAGTGGAAAATAGCTAAACATGCTGATGTTGTGACCTCTTTCCGCCAGGGCCAAAAACATGGGTCTGAAGAAGTCAAAGTGACTCTTGCCGGGATGTTGGAACAAGCCCAGAATTTGCGCCGCTCCATTGGGTTCCGGTCTCAAAGAAAAGGTTAACAAAAACAGGGGCAGCAGTAGCATTGCAAACCACTTTGTTTACCCAGCAAATACAATAAATACAAGTTAGTATTTTACCGATTAACATTAATATTTTTATGTATTTCACAAGTAATTATTCTTTCCGTATTCGGGTTAAAATAATCACTCCAATCAATCTTTATTAAAGTTTTTTCATATGTGCTGTCAGGTGGGGATTTGTATTTCTTTTTTTATAGTTTTTCTGCACTTTTTACATGAGTGCGCCAATATAAATGGCTTAAAGTGCCTAGTAATGACAAATTAATTGGTGTTAAAGCTATTATATGAATATGTAATGTATCAGAATGTCAAAATAAAAAGAAATAAAATTTTATTGCTATCTTATATGAACTATAATAATCTCTTTAAATATTTTGGTGTGGAACTCAAAATGCAACACAATTCGATCCGGGGTCTGCACAAAAGATCAAAGTTTACTCACGGGACACAAAAGGTTGCTATTGCTGTTGTTTCAGATACTTTTGTATCTGAAGCGCTGCACTTGCAACTTTGTATCTGAGACCTTGCTAAGATCGTGACCGGAATTTGACTGGCAATTGTCTTTTGGACCTTTAAGCGACAGATTTCTCAAGCGTTGAAAATTTGAGCTGTGGCGATTAAGAGGTGTCCACCCAGTTATTTAATTGTAGTGTTCGGCTGGAAACTTAATTTGGCCATTTTATGTTTAAACTTTTGATTGGTTGCGGTCTTGAACTTTTCTAGTTTACTGACACTTTAATAATCTTTAAACTAAACTCTGTTATTTTAACCACGATTATATTTTTTGGGTTAGGCAGTTGATAGTCGTTTTTAATTCCCAAATATTTTTTTTGGTTTTGGTTTTTTCTTAGAAAACCAATTTTAACATCGTATGCTGTATGCTGATTGCGTTGTTTGATTAACAATTTGCTCCAGCAATTTTCGAAGTAATTAAATGATTGTAAAATCCAGAGATTTGTGTATTAAGAGCATTGCAAAGTTTTAATTTCATTTTAAGTACTAGCGATCTCCCCTGTTACCTCCTGACTTCCTATAAGAGTTTAGAATGCAACTGATCACTGCCACGATCCGCGATCAACTGAAAGCCAAGGCAACAGCGGCTTGGAGCCAACTTAGCTAACAGCAATTGCCATGAGTTGCAAACTGCCCTGTTGCATTTTCCACCTCCCAGCCGAGACAGAGTTTTCCGATATATACGCTCAAACCCAAAGAACCCGACACATACTCCCCGCAAGTCATGAGCAATTTGCGGTAGGCCATTAGATTGCCAAATCAAGGGGGCATATGCGAAAGGGAAGGGAAGTATACCTTTTGAGGGCCGGGTGAATATGCAGATTATATAATCGAAATTGCAAGTGCAATGACTGGAGGGGATATTGTTTCAAGAAATTCATATTAATGAGAAGAACAATGGAATAAGCTAAACAGATTTATTATGTGATTTTTGATGACTTAACGCTTAACGAGCTCTCAGTTTTCACGGTTAAATGCCGCTTATTAATATCTATACACACACCTATATTAATCCGAGAGAATTGATAGGAAAAAGTAACCAATAATTATTAACTAAGATATTATTCAACGCTAAGATAATATGTAATATAATAATACCTTTTAAATAATTATACTCACACCTATTTTAATCCGAGATTCAAATAGTTTTGAATTTATAAGTTGAAGTAATTAATAATAATTAACTAAGATATTTATTCAACGCTTAAATAATATATAAATAATAATGTAAGAAATATATCTTATATCTCATAACTACTTTTGTGATATAAAAAGATATTTTGGGAACTAGAAGATCAAGGCAACATCTGTGCTATTAATATCTACATGTAAGGAATATGTTATCTACGTATCTGTAAAATTACCGATCATGTCTACAGATACATTTTTTCATAGCATACTTTCAGAGGTTTTTCTGACAATAAAGGTTTTAAATATTGGGCCTCCCCTCATTTAACTATATTTAATTAGGCCAGGGTAATAATAAAGTGTAAAAAATTCTTTTTAATAACCATCAGCTAATAATAATCTGCTGCCATACTTTACGGACAATCTTCCAACTCCGAAAGTCATCGGAGATTCGACATGCTCTGTTTATTCCGGACCTCGTCACTTGCTGCTCTCACTCGGAACTTGGATTTTACTAATTAAAATTCACTTTGACAATAACCGTAATTCTTAAGATACTAATTTCAAAATGTTGCACCATATAAAATATCTAGCAAATGGGCTCAGTTCAAGTTTCGTTTGAAGGAAGGTCGTTAAAATTTAGGGAAAATAATAAGCAAAAATTTTCACGTCTCGGCTAATTAGCGCAGCAGTCACAACAAAAACAAAGCCAGCTACTGGACGCTGTCAACAGCTGCAAGGGGGGTGGAAAATCGAAAGGGGGTTGGGTTTTCCTCAGGCAGTGTGTTTCGTTTTAATATTTGCGTCACGTCATTAAAAGTGTGACTTAATTGTGAGCGTTTCCACAAGTGAAAAGTTTCAATTTACGACAGATTATCAAATCAAGTGTGAATGAGCGAGAAAATCTCGAGACGTTCCCAATTTTTCCGGGCAGCATCCGCAGCTGTTTCCACTCCCTTACCAATTTTCCTCAAGGTGTTGCCAAATCGATAAGAATCAGGGAAGCGGGCGTGAAAATCGCACTTGAAAATCTCCTTGCTGAAAAAAGAGTCTTTACCCGGTATCAATTTATTTTAACGTCCAGACATTTAAGCTTTTGACTTTCCCACTTTTCCCGCTCTCTAACCCGGTCATTTATTTCGCACTGGCAATAAAATGGAATTTAAAATGATAGAAAATCTTATTGAAAATTCGCAGATAAGCTGCGAAAAAGGGTTGTCCGTGGGGGCGGCGCGTGTCCGTTTCAAATTGTGGGCGGGGCATATGGCATTTTCCAGTCATTTACATTTAATAGAAGCGCATGAAAAGATAAGCGTGTGTGTAGTGTGTGAAATTTATAACAAATCAATAAAATGACAATAGGTGCAAACTTTATCCGACACGCCACTGCGAAAATGGGGCGGGGCTGAAAGGGGACTTTCAGCGAACGTCGTTCTATTCGCATTGTCTGAAAATGAAACTCCAGGGTAGGTGGTTAAAAGGTGGCTGGAAATCCAAACGAAAGTTTTCGATAAACAATTTTTCGCACGGAAGTGCAATTTAAAGTGAAGTATCCATATAACCGTGTCCGTTTTTCTTTGCAAATGCGGAAATTATACAGCGAAAGTTTCTCATACATTTGTTACCAGCAATCAATCGCTATGTCCTCTTTCTGGTAGAAAAAAGGGTTTGAGATTCGGGGTTTGTCTGGGGTTTAAAGTAAAACTTTTCCGTCAGATAGTTGAAGGGAAAAATTATATATAAGCTTCAGTTTTGTGGATAAGTCTATACAGATTTGGGTTTGAACTGAGTAAGAAAGGAGATCATTTTTGCTAGAAAGAACAGAAGTCCACGAACAATTATAGTCATAGCTATTTAAAGAAATGTAAATCATCACCATCAAACTTTATGATAATATAAAATCTAATCACCTTTTTAATAGCTTTAATCACATGTCTAATCATATTATCGTTATCAATAGTGGTAAAACCAATCGACTGCTTAATCCAATAACTACATCAGAAAATGTATCTCACAAGTTCTCGCACAAATTGAAAGCGTGAACATTGCGTGCGTGCCTGTCTTCTCATCACCTAAAGTTTCAAAGACTTTTCCCTTCCAAGTTGTGCAGCGATTTTCCTACCTTACAGGTGTCTTTAATTGACAGGTCAAACTATTTATTGCCATGTCACGTGATCTATAAAACTGACGCCAACCGAAGACAGCCCCTGAATAACCACTGTGATTCAAGCCGCTTACTAAGACATTTTCGAGTAAGTCGCGTCTTCGTGCTTTTTCGAATAAATCGATTAACAAACAAAGTTGAGGCAGCCATGCCCCACGGAATATGTGTGTTGTAGGTTGTAGCTATTTCCGTGACAGTAATCAATTTATTTTTGGCAGTGCGATTGCGATTGCGTTTCCGCTCCAAGAACATGGACGAACCTGAAGTCTGATCCCCTGCAATTTTCCCACCTCTCTTCGCCGCTTTTCCGAAACCCCTCGAAAACTCTCTCTTGTCTGCTTCGGAAAACGTTTCATTTCGTTTTGGCTTTTGGCACAGCGATTTCCGCAGAAATGTCGATAAATCATCAGAACGAAATAGTCAGAGGAAAATTTGGGGAAAGGGCGGTGCACAGAGAAAAATATTATTTATAGATTTTCAACTCAAAGCCTATGACTCAATTTAATTGGAAAGGGACTTAAATATTTTAAATATAATGAAACAAAATAAACAGAAAATAAACAAATGCTTTAATGTTTTTCCTTATTCATTCCTAAAATATAATTTGTTTCTTTTTAAAAAAGGGCTTTCTCTGTTTTTAGAATGAATGAATAGAGGTGGGTGGTACCTTGGAGTAAAATACTTATGTTGCTCACAAAACAGGGACTTTTAAATTAAATATTATGGATCAAAATAAAGACAGAAAATAAACAGATGGATAAGTTATTGCTCTCATTCATTCCTTAATTAGACTTAACTTAGATTTTTTTATGTTATAAAAATGGAGGTATTTTTTATTTTTCCCTGTTTATAAAGTGAATGAAAAGAGGGGGGTGGTACCTTTTTGGCTGTTGGCGTGATAGATAAGTTGACAGCCGCATTGAAGGGTTATCGTGGCTGTCTCTTAATCAATCTTCCTCCGTTGCCGTCTTCATCTTCTTGGCAATTAATTAATTTGCAACAAAGTTAAGGACACGTGTCCAGGACATGGCGACTTAAGTGAATTTTCCAAGGGTTTTGGATCAGTCTAATACTGTACATATTACTTACTTTCTTTAAAAATATTAAGGATGCGAGAGTGCCAAGATTGCTGTCCATTTTGAAGCAACGGGAAGTCCTTTTAGGGTCAAGTGCTGGATTTGATGTTTCGTTTATGATTTATCGTCACTTATTGCCGCGTCATGGGCAATCATCCCAGTCCTCCCATCCCCCACCCCCTGCTAATGGTCGACATATTGCAAAAACAGAAACAAAAACTAAATTAGACATAATAGCTGGCTTGAGGGGGTGGCAAATAGGTCGTTTCAGATAAGTCGTCATGCTGTCATAATCATCACAAGACAGCATCCATCCATCGCCCATTTTGCAACGCCCACAAGTAACCCTCTGACCCCTTGGACCCCTTGAACCCCCTTTCATAACTCCCGTTTTCCTCCGTCTGCAATTTACTGATGTAATAACCATGTTTTCAGCTTGTAATGCGGCAGGGCCACAAAAACACTTTTGGCGGGGGTGAAAGTCAAGTTCCCAAGAATCCTAAGGAGGGGTGGGTGGTGAAAAAAGGGGGGTGTATAACGGGAGGTTTCGGGGGTCGAGGGTTGCCTTTTGTTCTGGGTTCTACTTTTGAATTGTTTTTGAAGTTAAATGTGTGATAATTTAATGACTGTCGACGCATCGCTCACAAGGACATACACAATATCTGACTCGCCCCCTGGAAAACCACCCACCCCTCAGTTATATAACTCAATCCTCACTAAAGGTTTAATTTAGTGGAATAATAAAAATGTTTTTGGGGCATAAAACTCTGTGGCTGGCGATGATTTGTGCACTTTCGATGTAACAGATTGTCTTTTAATGCTTCCGAATCAGCCAACTGTGATACCCAGAAATCTGTGATCTCTTAGGGTCGGAATTATGACGTCTGAGTTCTTCAGCTTAGCAACAGTTTAGTCATCATCTTCGGTTTGATAATAATTTTCCAGCTTAACTAGTTCGCAGGCAGTCAGCTGATCTGCCAAGCATATGTTACATATAACCAACCTAAAACACGTTCGTTGTTTACGTTTAAATTAGCATTACAGTCCAGTTATTTGCATAAATTACTGGGCCACAACTCTCGAGCGTTTTTGTATTTTTTCTACTAGTTGGTAGGACAGGTGGTGATATTATTTTTTTAGGGGATGAGGCGCCTCTGAATGCTAATTAAGTCACTTTAAGTTGGACTTTAGACTTTGCGGAACTTGTGCATAGTTTAGACAGTACTTAAAAAGCGTGGGGAATTTTTGGGGAAGTTTTTTCATGAGCCCGGGGAATTCCTTAGTTTAAAGTAGTCCAAAGCGAAGTAATTAGTTTCGGGCCCCTACCTCTAAAGATTCCATTGCTTAAGCGAAATAAATGGTTTATATAACTTTTATTTGATCAATTCTCACTTATTTTTAATTTTTTCAATTGTGACCCATTTAACAAGATTTCAAATTCCTGTTTTAAGATATGGATCAAGTTCATCGACGTAATGCAGACAACTTTCGCTACATTGCAACATGATTTACTTTCCTTAGAATCCAAATTTTCTCCATGATACCCCTGTCTTTTTTCATAATTCAGCCTAAAAAACATGCGAAAGCCAACGAAGATTTATGCAAATCCCGGCGAGCGAGTGTTAAAACCTTAAAGCTTTTGATTCGGCGCTAATGTAAAAATATGGCCACCGTATGTGGAAAAAAACCGAATATCAAATGTGCAAAAATCGCACAGCCACATTTGCATATGACAAAGTGAGGCAGACAGCCGCAAACAATGAAAAATGACGGCGACGAATGCTCGCAGGCTTAGTTGGGGTAATTTAATTTGGCAAAATAAAAAAAAAATTGCAATAAATAAATTTCTCCGGCCCCTCAGGACACGCGACTGTTGCGATTTATGAAACTCAATTAATTTGTGGAAATTTTATAAATGAATTTATTGCATTTATGTAATGTGACAAATAATCGCCATCATAGTGGCATTTCTCTCCTCCAGTACGGTCTCTCCAGTGGCGGTGGGTATCGAACCCCCAACCGTTTCCTAGCAGAAGTGCAGGTTATTGAACTGCTCCCGATTGTTGGTGACCATCTGGTTGTATTTGAAGGCCGCCGACTGTTGGGAGCTGCTCTGAACCGTCAGCCTCGAACTCCGCAGGAAACTATCCGCCGGACTGCTGGATACGGCATACTTTCCGCCCAGACCCTCCACAGTCCTCATGGGACTCAGGTGCTTGGCGGGTATGGCCTTGCTGGGTGTGCGAGTTTGGTGAACCATTTTCAAGGATTTGTTTTGAGTTTCAACAGGAGCTTGGGTGAGCTTGGATGATCTGGGGGATTCAGGGCACACTGGAGAGACGCGTTAGCACGGAGAATTCCAGACAATTGCCGCAGTTACTAGTGCGAGAGCCGCCTTTCTTGGAAGACAGATGTTTAGATAGACTGCAAATATAAAAGTAGGAAACCATTAGTTTATGATAAAGGATACGAGTAAATAATAATTCTTCAGCATTTCTAGCAATTTTAATTTTTTAAGACGTTATAAAAAATGATATTCTTTTTGAGTTGTCTTAAAATATCCCCTTCCTCACCTAATATTATTCAGCAACTTGGCTTTGGTGTCCGGTGTCTTCATTGACACATTTGTTTATGCACGTTGGGGAAAATATTTTTGAAAAATCTCTGATTAGGTATCGACTGCTAGGCCTTCGAACTTTAGTCTGTTGGATTTCGAACCGAAAGCGTTGCTTTTATATCAGAAAGGTCCCCCAGATTTAGATGATCTCATCACGCGCTGGGCGCGTGCTCAAGTTAAACTAGTTTTTCGGCGCCTCAGATGCAAAATCAGAGGCCTGTGCCAAATTTCTTGTTTACGCCACCGAGTTGTACGTCAATGGAGAACCGCATGGCATATTTGCTATTCCATTGACGGTCCAAAACGGTAAACATCTCTGCGAAAGAGTAAACAAGCCCAAACACCAAACAAATAAATTATACTGGGGCATTCTTTGGATCTAAAAGATTCAGGTGGTTCCCCAAAGGATCTGTGAAACATGCTTCTCGAAGACATTTAGCCAAGTGTTTAAAATTAAACAATCCGTACTTTATATAGATTTTCGGTAAGGAATTTTTATTTAATTCAACCTGTCTCGAAAAAATACATACGTTTATTTACTTTCTTTGTTCGCTGTCTGGCTCTCGTTTTTTAATTATTGAACCATGTGTCTGGCACATTTGCATAATGCAGTATATGCTTAATATTTGGCAGACATATAAATTGGAAATATAATACAAAAGTCAAATGCAGATTTTGACATTTAAGACAGTGGCTTAGACGTTCAAAGAAAAAATTTAATTTAATTTTTCAAAACTGTTAAAACGAGTTTTTGGAAGAAGGGCATGGCGTATTAAAGGGGTCCTGAAAGTCATTAAACCTATAAATTTGTTTTTGTGGATGTTTACTGTTTACTAGCAAGTCTAACTAGATTTTAAAAATTTTTCATAAAAATATTAATTAATTTGGAGAATCCCATATCATTGAACTCATTAAAGTAGACTTAAATTTACTAACACGTAATACGAAATAATTTTTTTAAGTTAATCTAGATATTTTTCAGAACCATTTCTAAAAATTTTGAAAACACCTTCCTTATTTTTCTGTTTTTTTATCATAATTCAGATCGGTTAGCTATATATCTATAAACAACAGTTTTATATATCTACTAAAAAACCAGCAACAGGCTTTCAAGTTGTTTTCTTGATCGAATTGGCTGATGCAATTTAACCAAGACTTTTCATCAGCTAGCGGCTTATGCATAATTCGCTATATCAATAGGGATCAGGTGATGTTCGCAACTATTGAGATTCCTATGGGCAGTTATTGCATATATCGCTATCAGGGTTTTCTAATATCTCAGATTGACGAAAATGTCCTATTCGGGGGAATTTTGGGTGACGTGTCAAAAAACCGCCGGCCGGCAACTCTAAACGTTATACGAATCATAACGATCATGTTTTGGAGAGGAGACAAAGGAAAAGACTACGTGATACGCAGCAGGTTTCGTTGGTGTGGTTATAATACCCTTCAAACGCAAAGATTGGTTTCGTACAGCTCTATATGAAAAATGTTATGGCAGAAATTAGACTGTAGATTTTTATAATTAAACAAATAAATTCCGAACAGGCCGTTTTTAGGAAAGATAGAGATTATATTAATAACAATCCTAACCTACCTTAAAAATATAAATACTAAAACATACATTCAGATATTGATACTGAAAAACTCATTACTAAGAAAGAGGCAAGTATTTTCTCTCTCAGCTTTTGTCACATCGGGTAACGATTGTTATATAAGTAAAGTCGGTATATTGCCTTTATAATTCGTAATACATTTAGAAAATATGTTAAAAACTACACATTTTTAAAGGTATATGATAGTCGACTCTCCTAGCCACTTGTTGGAGTTATTTGCAAAGGTTTCGCTGATAAAACCAGTTGCTCGATAGCTCTAATTTGCATTGCCGTCCGCTGGAACGGGTTCGCCTCAGTCTGAGACTGAGTTTGAGGTCACCAGGGGGGTCGAGATGGGCGGGGGCCGTGCGAGGGAGGTTTTCTGGCGTCTTGGAAGTGCCTGCAGCTGGTGATCTGATACTAACGTTACTTGCTCGTAGAACGGTGACGCAGTACCTCCACCAGACATTGCACTCGGATCGACGGATCGGATCAGATCGTATTGAAACGGATCGGATTGAAACGGCGTATTTAAACCAGTTGTCGATGTCGCTGGTGGGCCAGTAGAAAGTCCAGAGCAGAGCAGATCGGTGGTGAACTGTCCGGAGCGCGAGCTGTCAAATTTCCTTTCCTTCCAATCCAATGTGCAATTTGCAAAAGTTTTGTGTCAATGCCAAAAATTAGCCACACGGATTCCAAACAAAAATTATTGAAACAAGCAAGGTGGGTAACATTAAATGAAACACAAATAGAATTCTTTGAAACATTCTTAAATGTATAAAGATCCTCTTATCTTAACATTCAGGAGAAATATAATATACCTATTTAAATATTTATATTTTTTTACAGATTGGGAAAAAACTTGGCATCGAAAAAAGGATCTCGAACAGGAAACTCGGCTAACAACAAGGAACTTAAAGTACTCACCCTTTTGCAAACTGTACCGTGAATCTTGACCTCTCTACAAACGCATTGAAAGCGCAGCTTTGTGTAATCGGCAGAAAATTTCACTTATTCAAAAATAAACCCAAGGAAAGTCTAGAGACAAAATGGTCTACACCGAACGTACCGACAAGTGCTTGAGCAGCAACACCAAGGACAAACAGTCCTCGAAGAGTCAAAGCCACTCCAAGACTACTAATGGCTCGGGATCAGGATCAGGATCAGGATCCTGGAGCAGTCAAGCCTCGAGTGCCGAAAAGTGGAAGTACAACAACATGGTGAATAACGATCGCCAGCAGTTCAATGGCATGCATTTCTCCTAAATCGGAGGGATAATACCTATTGAAATGTGTCCCCAGTAAAATGGGGATCGGGGGAGTCGATTGTTGTTGTTATTTCGCTTTAATATAGCAGGGTTCGTTTAGTTTTGTAAGACTTTTTATAGACTTAGGTATTCCTATGTGATACAAAAAATGAAACAAATATTACTCCAATTGGTAAAACAAATTATATTAGAAATGAGATGCGCAAAAAACGAAGACATTTTTATTTAGGGAGGGGGTGGAACATTTATTAAAATTTAGCGTTGCTGTAAATGATATGTATCAAAAAATGGAAAAATATTACTTTTAAGTGTAACGCTTTTTTTAACTCACAATATTATGTAATATTTTTAAGCACCAGGGAGTTGGCCCCATCTCCAATCCCCCTATCAATATCCCTGGCCATTTGACCTTGCCACTTGACTTTACCCAACTTGACTGATACCCAACGCATATTTTATTGTCTGCAGCATTTGCATGAATTGTGGCTATTAGCGTGATTAGGCCAACTTCTGGATTGGGATACGGACAACCCTCGATGAATCCGGACGGAGTGCACTTAATACGCATTAGCTACGCTTATTTGACAGCCTCAATCTGCCGAGCGATCCCTGCAATATTGATGATGTCTGGCCATCCCCTTTTCCCATTTGATTTCCCCCGCACTTTTCCTTGTGACGCGTGTCCTTTTCCGAGAACAAGTGTATCTCCCAGTGCAGCCGCAAAAGGACGACGTCCGGTTTTCGTTACGAGGATTCGTTCAACTGTATTTGGGAAATTGGAAAGTGCGAAATTTTTATAATTTTTCAATTGTATTGTTTGCCCGAAATGGGGAAATATGGTATTCAGTTTGAAACGGGAGTGAGAAGGATGCTGCGGTTGTCCTTCGGTCGTGACACACGACTGAGCAGGGGACTCGAGCTTCGCAGGACACGTGGCACATGGCTATTAGGAAAAGCGATTTCCTTGACGGTGCTAATAGAATTCTCGCACTCTCTGCAAATCTCATCCCTGCGCCAAAGAATAAATGTTGTGGCGTTTTCGGGTTTTCCTTCTCCGGGAGGCAGCTGTCAATGTGCTTTACACCAAAAAAACAAGTATGCTCAAGATTTAAAAATATTTGATTTTATTCTATGAATATTTCTATAATGCTTCTGAAGATACATTTTTTAATGTATCAAAATCAAATATTTTCCCCTGTTCATTTAAGATTTCTACATTTATCAAATATTCCTTAACCAAAATAATAAATGTATAAATACTTAAGAATCAATCAAAACTGAAACTAATAAATAGGGTTTGTATATTTTTTTTCGTGTACCTCATCAAGTTGAATCCTGAACTCTGTTTTTTTCCCACCCACTCAACCCATCTCTTTCGGCTTCTGTCTGTACTGGGCCTTGTAATTACTTTGTTTCCTAGCGCCAGGAGGTCCTCGACACCCAAAAGATTCCTTGTCACTTTTGGTGTTGTGCGATGCAATTAAAACCGCTCCGCAGGTGTCCTTTGAACTTTGCCACGAATATAAACTGTGTCTCAGTATTTGCTCATTGGCGTGGAATGTGTCAGTTGCAAGGCTTCCGAAATGGGACGACGCTCTCTGATTTATCAGACAGAAGCAATTATCACGTCATTATCAAGGAAAACCCACAGGAACTGTTGGCTGCTTTGATTTTTGTTTTAGTAAATGCTACACATACATTTTTATGATTGAATATGGTACATTATAACTTTTATTTTGAATTGAAGGAACACGGAATGAACAATTTTATAGGAGTTATGTTAATGTAATATACCTACCTATGATAGTCAAAACAGATCTTACTCTTTAAGGGCAATTGAAAACTGATTTCCGCTGAAAGACAACCCTCACCTTGGACCCCTAGCTCCGCTCCTTCCCCCGATGGCATATGTCACAATGGCATTTTGGAAAATTATGAATAATATCCGTAACTTCTGCCGAGACACACGCCCTAATGCCGTGAAATATTCCCGAGCAGCTTGCGTTGAAAATGTGAAAGAGGGCGACGAGGCCCACACTTCAACTCAATCCCAGACAACGCCTCTGAAATTGTGAGTTCCGAACTCCCGAGCAAAATTTGTTTGGGGCGTGCCGTCAGATACAACTTCCGATGACATCCGACAGATGTTTTACAACCAACAGGATAACCGGCGGATTGCCGAATTTGTAGTACTTGGCACAGGAGTTGCGCCCGCTTGCAAAACAATTGTCGGCACATTTCCCGTCGCGGATGTCTCCGCCAGCAGCAGTTGAAAAATGTACAAAGTCGAATCAGATGCGAATTACATTTGAATGTAGGTACTCGATGATAATGTACGGGCGTTGACATCTAGGCAAAGGTGTTTTGGCTTCCTGTTTGGCACATGACAATGTCATCGCCACATGGCAGCCACACACGCATCTGAAATTGATTGCCCAGAGGTTGGGGAAATCCAGGAGATTTTACACGATATTCGATCATATTCAGCTGGTTCGAGATGTGGGCAGATACAAAGTGGATAAGTGAACGGAAAGGAAACATAACCACCTTAAAGGTGAGAATTTTTATAAAATTCAATATGTTGCACGAACTCAAAAAAGTAATTTCTTACTTGACAGGACTTCTATAAATTAATTATTTTTACACCTTCTATGTTAGTATTACTTTTGTAAACTTTAATATCATCTAAAATAAATAAATAACTTCTTTTAAAAGTAAGATTTTACAAAACTACTATATTCCGATTTTATAAGCACTGAACCGGCCCTAAAATCGAAGACAGATATATTGATTCGATATCAAATTCATCTATAACCCAACTCAAGTCAATCAATGTTATATCTTGGTTTCCCAACAACTACCCTTTCAATTATATTCCAATCAAACTGGATTTTTTTCTGTTGTTTGTAAACATCTTTATCAGTCCATGGATTTGCATAAATCACATCTTATATGATATATCATATCACATGACCTCTCATAAGCCTATGCAAATGGCCTAATCAAATACAGATCTGTCGGAGAATATAATTTACAAAATATGCCAAACATTCGCCCTGACAAAAGGTGGCAATTACACAAAAAAAACAGAGAACCATGAACTCAATTCAATCGCATAGGGAGAATTTTCGAGTTCCGAATCAAAAGCAACCCCCCTCTTTTCCCATTGTTGCGGATATATATTTTTCAGCCGCCATTTCTGATCGACAGCTGTCATGAATGACAATTGGATTGCAGCAACAGAAATTCTGAAGTTGCTGCCTCTGTTTCACTGCTGCATCGAATTCGGATTCTTATAAAATATGCAATAAAAATATGAGACCCCGTAATGATTGCCAGTATTTATAGATTTCGACCATTTCTGCGGCTGCTGCTGCGGCGAGGTCATCAAAACGAAAACAACCAAATCGACATGGAAATTGAAACAATGGCAAGGCGAGTAGCAATCGATGCCCCAGGGGCGTAGAGGGCCAGCGGTTTTTAAACGGGGGTGGGGTTCTACTACAGAGAGTGGAGTGGTTCGAACTGAACAGAATTGAACCAAAGTGGAGTGGTTCTCGAGTAAAACGCAGAAATGCGGTTGCTTTTTTGTGGGTCGTCTCGGGATAATTTGAGAGTGGGCAGAATGGGATGGGGTGCTCAAGCTTAGGGAACTAAAGTTCCTCAATTTTTAATATATTTATTTTTATTATTAATCGTTGTTAAGTATGTCACGAGCAACATTTAATTAAAAATAATTTTAAATTAAATTAATAAAAATGGTTTTAATATTTTATTTATTTATTCCAAGAAATATGATTAATGATTAATGATTATGATTTTCTGGAGTTTTAAAATAGATGAGGTTTTATTATATAGCTTAGCTTTAATAAAATAACTACAACGACAGAAAGACTCTCGTTTAATAATATTAAAATAACCAAATTTTGGTTGATTGGTTTAAAAATCACAAAGGAATCCATTCCTTATATTGACCTCATTTATTATAATTTTTTTTAAGGATATAATTGTTCTCGCTAAAAATTCACCTATTTTAAATATCTCCAAATTATTTTCTTGTAGCTGATTTCTTGCGCCTCACTGGCCCAACTTCTTTCTCAAAGGGCTGCCCTTCAAGAGCCATATTTAGCATGTTTTCGTACGCACAGCCGCATGTGGGAAAGGTTAAGGGAAAGGGGTCGAGAGCAGAGTGCAAAACCTTTAAATGCAATTATGGCCTGTGGCTCATGTGGGCTCAAGTGCGGCGAGGTCGTCACAAAACGCCAATGATATGCTCTCGAGTGTCTTTTGTTGTGGCTTAAATACATAAGCAGGGTAACTCCCCCTTTTTGTGTAGCCCCCTTCACACCACCCCCTTAATACCCCTTAACACCCCTTTTCCACCAGTTTCCTTCGGTTTTTACAGCCTGCTTTAAATTGAGCGCGCCAAAAAAGTTGTAGCTGAGCTTTCCATTCGCTAATCGGGTGGTGCAGATGGGTGATATTTATTCTTTCGCCAGTGTGAGTGAGTATCTGTGTGCGCTGGTGTGGTGGTGTGCTTGTGTGTAAGTGTATGTGGCATATGCAACGCTCCACAATCGCATCATTTTGAGCAATTAAGTGTGTATTATCCGTCGCTGCGTCTGTCAAAGGGCCTTGAAAGCAACTTCAAAAACCGAATCCAGTCGCGGCATCGCAGTCGCTCCTGTTCCTGTTCCGCCACCGGAAGTACATTGAATGTGCCAGAGTGTGAGTGTGTGTATCGGTATATAATGTACACAGAAAGAAACAAGTAATGCATTTTAAAACAAATATAACAATTATACAAACTAAGATTGTATTTGTCAGGATCAATTTGATATTTTCAAGAGAGCAATGTAAAAAGGATATTTATTTTTAGACTTTTCTGCCATCGTTAATATTTCAATAAATAGTGAAAAAAAAGCATTACTATTGTGAAAATCGAGAAGCTAAGGCTCAAAAATTGAACTTTAAACTTATTTATTTAGAACACGAACCCTATGAACAACGTTTTTAAGATTGCTATACATATCTACGTGATACGGGGCGTATAAAGATGAAATTGGTAAGAAATCGCATTAAAATCAGTATTCATTTATATTATTAGTGTGACATAGGCTGCATAACAATAAATTTTTATTGTCAATATACGATTTATTTCTAAGTAATATTAAAATAATGATCTAAAGTAAATGTAAAGAATATGAACT